ACATATATACACACACACGCAGACACATGTACACACATACACACACACCTATATATATATATATATATATATATATATATATATATATATGTGTGTGTGTGTGTGTGTGTGTGTGTGTGTATGTATGTATATATATGTACACACACATATATATATATATACACACACGCACACATACGCAGACACACACCTCCACACACACATATACACACAAACACACACATATACACACACATGCACAGACACATTTACACACACAGACAGATGCACATGTACACACAAACATAGACATATGTGCATGTACACATACTGACACAAACAGACACATGTACATACACACACATATATACACACACATACACACACATATACACACAAACACATATATATACACACACACACATTCAGACACACATACACACACACCTACACACACATATACACACAAACACATATATATACACACACATATAGACACATTCAGACACACGTACACACATATACACACATTTAGACACATGCACACATATACACACATATACACATATTCAGACACACACACATATACACACAGACACACACAATACACATATATATACACACACATATACCCGTACACACATATATACACACATATAGACACATATACAAACACATACAGACACACCTACACAAACAAACACATATACATGCACAGACACACGAGCACACACAAATACACACACACAAATACATACACATATGCACACATACACACACTCATATACACACACACCTGCACACAGACACATGTACTCACACGTGGCTGGGCCTGGTTAGTACTTGGATGGGAGACCGTTGGGAAAACCAGGAGCCACAGGGGGGCGCCAGTCACAAAAACTGTCGTGTCCTTGGGCAAGACACTTCATCCACATTGCCTAGTATGAAAGTGGTGTGTGCGCGAGTGACGGTGGTGGTCGGAGGGGCTGACGGCGCAGACTGGAAGCCACTCTTCAGTCAGTCTGCCCCAGGGCATCTATGGCTACAACAGTAACTTGTCACCACTGAGTGTGAAATTAATGAACAAAGATAAAGTGTAAAGTTCTTTGGACGTCTTGAAAGGCGCTGTATAAATGCAGTGATTCATTAATTAGTGATTAATGATTTAATTAATTGATGTACACACACACACACGTACACACACAGACACACGACACACACATGCATACACCGCACAGACGCACACATAAAGACGCACACACACACACACACACACACACACACAGTAGCTCAGTTGGTTTAGTTTAGTTTAGTTTAGTTAAAGAGACAGGGACAGTGCACAATATACATTAACCTTAATATATCTGAAATTGACCATGTTGAATTTTATAGCATTTGTTAACATTTTAATGCGCTTTTTAAAACATAAATTTGGTTCCAGAATAACTCCTAGATATTTCAGCTGATCAACATTATTAATCTTCTGCCCTTCTATCAGAATTTCAGGGTAGTTTTGAAGTTTGTGACGATTTGTAAAAAAAACATAGAAACGGTTTTGTCGATATTTAATGTGAGACAATGGTTGGTAAAGTGTTGGCGGTTCTAATCTCGCTCTTGACGTATCTTGACGTAAACATTATTGGTTGGCCGGTCAGACTTACAGGTTGGAGGTGTGAGTCCTTGGGCAAAACACTTAACCCACCTCTAGTGTATGAAAGCTCGTGTGAATGGGTGAGCGGTTCCTTGACGTAAAGCGCTTTGAGTGCCCTGAAGGTGGAAAAACGTATAAAAAAATGACCATTTACACACATACATACAGACACATGCACGCGACACACACACACACGCGCGCCCACTGTCCACGCACACGCCTCTCAAAGGGGCAAAGACAGCACTATTTGCCGGATATTGCTGATCTCGCGTTGGTATGGATATGTTGCCCGGGAGACAAATTCCAACCGCATACATCATCTTAGCGAGGGGGGAGAGCCATAGCAGCGAGCTCTCATTTCGTCCAGTCGACCATAGAAGCTCACAGCATATTTTTCCCATCAGGCAATCAAAGCCAGAACAGCTAGTCGCCACAGACTTCAGTCAATCAACCCCACACCACACCACATCAAACCCAATCTCCCCTCATCTCTACCAAAGACTACAGTATATTGACTTTTTGCGCCGTGAGACCTCCTTCAAAAGCTTTCCGTTGTTTATTTTATTGAAACTAATTTCGATAAATCCGAGCGAAAAAGTTTGCAGACTTCCAAACGGGCTTTTGAGATGAAATGAATTTTAATTTTCGCAAGCTGGGGAGTTCTCAGAGAAGTTACAGACAGCTTTTGGCAGATATAAAAGGAGCAACGGTGGAAAGAACCAGCGAGATCCAGACTGTACAACGCGCTTTTTGCAGGAGTCCCGATGCCTCCAGTCAAATTGAGCTGTCAGACGCTGCGCTGCTTCAGTTTGAACTCAGTGTGAATCTTCGACGCGTAAGTGCCAGTTAAAAGTCAAAAGAACATGGAGCTATTTACTATTCATATTTTCAGAGCAAAGTGGAGTCGCTCTGGGTCTAACCTACACAATCATAATATTTATCCAAAATAAAATCAGGCGGATAATGCGTGAGCCACGGAAAAAGTTCAAAGAGTGTTAATTTTGCTCTTTTCACATCTTAAACATCCTAAATTCTAACTTTTGAGAGCTTTAAGCCATGTTATAACACTGTTACCTCCCTAATCCCCATAGTTCAGAAGGCTCTGTTTCACCTTGTGATGTCATGTAGTGGTAGTTTTCAAGTTTACTCTTACAAACCTAAAGGCAATTTTAGTACATTTGTCCTCTCCTTTTTAATTTTGCTATTAAAACTCCCCCTTTTACCCCATAATGAAGTGTTAGACATTATTTTTTTCAGCACAACCTGTTATTTCACAATCTGCACACTGTAGTTGTGTCATATGACTGTAATAAAAGCTACAGGACTAGAAATACAAATGAAAAAAATAAAATTAATTCACATTTTCATACAAAACTCACAACAAACATGTATAAACAACTTTTTGGATATTAAATTAAATTTAGGGCCTTATCTACAAAAGTGCAAAATATCAAGTCTGTAAGTAAACTAAAAATATACTTATTGCCTCAAAACAAAACAAAAAAAGTGCAATGTCCACATGACTTTCTTGGTGTCATGGAAACAGCTTGTGTCAGGTTCAGGGTACAGAGCCACATCACTTCTTGCATTTCCATGGTGTTTATTACATTTGTATTTGGACATTTTGAGTGAAATAAACCTGAAAATAAAAATAGCAAGGGATGCGCAATTACTCTAGCCAGGCTGGGATCACCTAGTGCAGGAGTGTCAAACTCATTTTGGTCCAGGGGCCGTATCCAACCTACTTTGATCCCAAAGGGGCCGGATCAGAAAACTCATGACATATAAACCCCAAAAATAACAATAAGTTCAAATATTTGTGCAGAGAAACACAAATCTATTACAGAAATCTTTTTTAATTGATGAACTCTTTCTTATTATAATATTATAATATTATAATATTATGAACAACCTGAAACTTTAAGAAAAATTCAATTTCAACACAATGTTTTAACATGAACTTGTATGCAAATAGGAATAAGTCAATTTTTCTTGGAAAATCCTGCACTCGGCTCCACTTTTCTCATTTTGGACATTTTGTTGATGAGGGTGTCACGGTCAACAGTCAAAACAATCGTCCTTTAAGAGCGTTTGGAAAGAGACAAGTCTTCATTTGTGCTGCTCTGGTGGGAGGGGCCACGTACAGAGACGCTGGAGACGCTGCTGTGATAAACACCGCAGAAAATTACCAATATTTTAATAGAAAATATAATTAAAATATTTTAGTAGAAAATCACCCAAGGGCCACATTAAAGGTCTTGGAGGGCCAGATCTGGCCCCCGGGCCTTATGTTTGACACCTGTGACCTAGTGCCTCCGCTCAATTTGATTTCTCTCCAGCGACTAGGTCAGGAATCAGAATACAGTCAGTGAAGAGTCATCCATTCTGTGTTGGAAACGATTCCCAAGATCGAGGATTTAAAGCCAGAACAAAGAGAGTGTTCCACAGTTTTGAGCGCTCAGTTTATGCAAATTAGCCATGCGGTTTTAAGTTTCTGTAAAAAGAAAACACGTATGGTCAAATCTGTGTGGATAAGGGAAGGATTGTGGACAGAGAAACAACGTGTGTGGACGCAGATTGTTTCCGATACGGTGATATGTAGATTTGTTTCAGTGTAAACGGAGTCTAAGGCCCGCGGGCTGACTCCGGCCCCCAGCCCCTCTGCCTTACGACACTTGAACTGGTCCTACATGAGAAAACGTTTTTGTTTACATCCGGCTTTTCCGCACGTGCGCAGTAGCTGGTAGGCAAAAAGTCAGTCAGTCTACTCGTTTGTGTTGACAGTTGCGTTGCGTATGTCTGTCAAGAGGTAACTCGTCTTATTGAAGTAGGTTTTGCGTTTAATTGTTCTGACATCACGTTACTCTAAGTCACTGAATGTTGAGGATCTGTAGTGCAGTTTAGGACAGCAAAATGGCTCATGTTAAAGTAAGAAAACTTGACAGAGAGTGCCGAGTTTTCAGAGAACTGTTGACAACCGTTTATTTTTTGTTCAGTGTAAGGACCGTGCAGTTCGTCTGATATGTAAAGAAAGTTCAGCGCTTTTCAAAGAATATAATCTGCGTTGTCAGGGTCAAACAATTCTGTTACATATACAGCTAACCCGACCCTGGCCCCCATCACAGTCAGGAGCGATAATGTGGCCCCCAGAGAAAAAAGTTTGGTGACCCCTGAATTAAGTAATGTAATAAGCCAATTTACTGCTAAAAGTCGCCCAAGAACGCTTCATAAAACTTATATTTGAGCTTTTCATTTGCACAAAGCTGTTCTGTAGTTCTCACCAAACAAACCAATTCCACCAAACAGAACTTCACTGGTTAAGATTATGAGGAAATAAAGCCAGAGAAACAGAATGAGTTTGGATTTGTACCTTTTCTTCTCTGCTTCATATCTGCTGAGAAGGCGCTGAAGACCTCCACACTTGAAGCCCTGGAAGTGGGCGGCAGGAGCACCAACAGTGATGATGTCATAGATAGCGTCTGAAAAACAAAATACAATCATTTATTATAACTGTTTGTGTAAGACGGTGCTGAATTTTTTTGTGGACTTTATCTTCCGAGACACCCGGCGTAATAGATGTTTTTGAGGAATCTACTTTTTTACATTTAAAGGGCCCATACTACACTTTTTTTTCTCTCAAACTGAAAACGCTCTGTTCCAACTTGTGATGTCATGTCATAAAGGAAGTGCTCCACTGTGTTTTTAAATTCCATACACCTTCACTAGAATCATTTGGATCATTTCAGCCTTGGAATTGTCATTCTCTCCTGAACAAAAAGTAAAAAGAGCAGTTCACTTGACTACCACTTCATTATCTCACAAGACAGAGGTGAAGACTTGTGAATCGTGACTTGGACTTGAGTGTGTCACTATTTTTAGGACTTGAGACTTGACTTGATAAAATGGACTAAGACTTGGGACTCGACTTGGACTTGAGAAGACTTGATGCTTAGGCTAGTTGACAAATAGTTATTAAGCACTCTTAAATCTTAACTCTTTCTGTTCTGACCTTAATAATTCGCACTCTTAAGATATTTAAAAAGAAAAAAAATTGCATTTCTACAATTTTTGTATAAATACTCGTCGCATCGTGACTTTTTAAGAACAATTCAGTTTAAAAATTATATAAATTGCAAAAATCTAAGCTGTACTTGTGACTTTGGTTTAAAGACTTGAAATGACGAAGCTCAAAGTAGACGACTTGGACTTGACTTGGACTTATGGGCCAGTGACTCAAGACTCGACTTGGGACTTGACTCGGACTTGAGGTCAAAGACTTACAAAACAATGACTTGGTCCCAACTCTGTCACAATCTGGAACAGAGCATTTTGGGCTTTGGAGATGTAGACAGACTAATAAAAAAGTGTGAATGAAACAAAACACAACTTCAGGTCTGTTTTTGATGAGATAACAACATTATTCCATGCCTTAAAGCTGACTAAAGTCCATTTTGCCTATGATATTATTATTACCTTTAATAAGAAAAATTCAGAGTAGTCAGAAAATTTTGAATCACTTTTAACTAGGGATGCACCGATCTGATACTGAAAAAATCTCTGCACTGATATCGGTTGATAAAGCTTTAGTATAAATAAAGTACAAATCTCAACTTTTAACTGTGCCATGCTACTCTCCACTAGCCCCACCCGTCCGGTTTTATATAGGTCAAGAAACCCATCCACACAGCCTCATGGGTAGTAGTAAGCTAGAGTTGTTGTTTGCAGACTGTTTTTGGGATTCGTCTTTTGGAGCTAGTCCCAAAACAGCGTCAGAGATAATGTAGTATAAACAGCATAGGTTGACAGCACTAAGTTTGTGGTTAACTTGGCATTTTTTAAAGCTCCTATACTACACAAAATGGACTCTAATGAGCTTTAAGCCAAGTTATAATGTTACTTCTATAGAGTACGAAAGCTTTCAGAAATATTTGTGTGCATATGATAGAAGTCCATAGTCAGGCTGGCGCCACCTAGTGCCTCCACTCAGATTCATTTCTCTCCGGTGACTAGGTCAAGAATCAGAATACACTAGACGGTTTGCACGAACCCTGGAAGTTGTAGACCGCACACCGGCCAATCAGCGAAGAACTGTGAAGCCATGACGTCAAACTCAAGTGCCTGTCTGGGTCCCTTTTGCGGAACAGCACAACAGTAAACAAAGCGGTCGAGACTCATTTTGGTCCGGGGGCCGTATCCAACGTACTTTGATCCCAAAGGGGCCGGATCAGAAAACTCATGGCATATAAACCCCAAAAATAACAATAAGTTCAAATATTTGTGCAGAGAAACGCAAATCTGTTACAGAAATCTTTTTTAATTGATTAACTCTTTCTTTTACAAAATATTATAATATTATGTAATATAATATTAACAACCTGAAATTTTAATAAAAACGTAATTTCAACACAATGTTTAACATTAACTTGTCTGCAAATAGGAATAAGCCAATTTTTCTTGGAAAATCCTGCACTCGACTCCACTTTTCTCATTTTGGACAGTCAACAGTCAAAACAATTGTCCTTTAAGAGCGTTTGGAAAGAGACAAGTCTTCATTTGTGCTGCTCTGGTGGGAGGGGCCACGTACAGAGACGCTGGAGACGCTGCTATGCTCAGCAGCGCAGAAAATTACCAATATTTTAATAGAAAATATAATTAAAATATTTTAGTAGAAAATCAGCCGAGGGCCACATTAAAGGTCTTGGAGGGCCTGATCCAGCTCCCGGGCCGTATATTTGACACCCCTGCTGTAGACAAAGACATACATTCTGTGTTGGCAACAATTCCCGAGATCGAGGATTTAAAGCCGGAACAAAGAGAATGTTTGGTGAATTTTACCAAGGAGAAAGACGTTATTTCCCTTCTTACTATGGGATTTGGTGCATTACATACATCACAACCAAATAGCAGTGATTGGTTAAATAAAAAAGTACCCGCCTACCGTCGAGCGAACAAATCCTAATACTGCAAGGTCAGACGGTTTCCACGAAGTGAAACCGGCTGATGAATCAGGCTAAATCTCCACTCGAACGCTGATGCACTGACTTCGACTCTCACTGACTTTAGTCTCCTCCTCGCTCTCGCTGCTGCTTTACTCTTTATGCATTTGCAGTTCTCACGTCTGACCAGAAGGACGCCCAAAGTCACCGGCGCTCTCCACGCTCCACACCAGTCCCCCTCCGCCGTTAAAAGTAAACAAACAACTCGCAGATACCGGAGCTGGAGCGTGGGTCCTTACAGCGGGGCCTTGTTTTGAATGCGGAATAGACCTGACAATTAAATCAGCAGCACAACACGGAGAGGAGGGGCCAAATCCAGGGATTACAGTCGGTGAATATTTCAGTTTGGCTTTTTGTGCCAGGTCAGCTAATGAACACTCCTGGGAAAGCAACAGTTGCGTGAGTAGAGAAAAAAAAAAAAACTGTTCAGAAATAGAAATTAATGACATAACACAAGCTCGGGGTGCAGCGTCGGAGATGTGAGAGGCATTATGACTAAAAAGCGACCGGCCCCCTTAGCGCCACGGACCAGTGACGGGTTTTGATGTAGCCCACTGCTCCTTCTATTAATTATCTGTGTTTCTGTCCACAACATAGCCAGCCCCCAGAGGTTTCCACATGTCCAAGTTGCCTTAATTGGCTCTCCCACTGCACAAGTACACAGCGATTCAACAGCAGGTCTCAGGACATCCAGCTCAATGGCCAATTTGGGGTTGATTAGCCTGTTCTCCCAGTCGCGTCACTCTTTTTGCTTTTTTTGTTGCAGTGTTTAAAGTGCACATATTACCCAAAATTGACCCTTTGGAGCTTTGAGTCATGTAATAATGTTGTTACCTCATCAAAAACAAACCCAGAGTTGTGTTTTGGTTCATTCACACATGTTTGAATAACCTTTTTATTATTAGTATGTTTACATGTCCAAAGCAAAATGCTCTATTCCACTTTGTGATGTCATGTTGTTGTAGTTGAGTAGTAGTAGTTTTATTCGGTCATTTTGCAGCACAGCAAAACAAAACATAGACTACAACCTCATGGATCAAGACCGAAAGAGTTTAGGCTCAAGTAAAAAGCATAAGTGGAGTGTGAGTGTGAGTCTAGTGGCTGAAATATGTCACAACATTGAGTTTATAATATAGTCAATTCAAATATTTACTTTAAAAAATGTATTCATATTTTAAACATGTCAATAAAACGAAAAGATTGTATGAAGTAAATATGAATCCTAGTCTGAACCAGGACTGAACCAGGACTAAACCAAGACTGAACCAGGACTGAACCAGGATTAAACCAGGACTAAATAAAAAATGAACCAAGACTAAACAGGACTAAACCAAGACTGAACCAGGACTAAGCCAGGACTAAATCAGGACTGAACCAGGACTAAACCAGAACTAAACCAAGACTAACCAGGACTGGGCCAGGATTAAACCAAGACTGAACCAAGACTAAACCAGGACTGAACCAGGTCTAAACCAAGACTGAACCAGGACTAAACCAGGACTAAATCAGGATTAAACCAGGATTAAACCAGGACTAAACCAGGACTAAACCAGAACTAAACCAGGACTAAACCAGGACTGAGCCAGGATTAAACCAAGACTGAACCAGGACTAAACCAGGACTAAATCAGGATTAAACCAGGATTAAACCAGGACTAAACCAGGACTAAGCCAGAACTAAACCAGAACTAAACCAGGACTGAACCAGGACTAAACCAGGACTAAACCAGGACTGAGCCAGGATTAAACCAAGACTGAACCAGGACTAAACCAGAACTAAACCAAGACTAAACCAGGATTGAACCAGGATTAAACCAGGACTAAACCAGGACTGAACCAGGATTAAACCAGGACTAAACCAGGACTGAACCAAGACTGAACCAGGACTAAACCAGAACTAAACCAGGACTAAACCAGGACTGAGCCAGGATTAAACCAAGACTGAACCAAGACTAAACCAGGACTAAACCAGAGAACCAGGTCTAAACCAAGACTGAACCAGGACTAAACCAGGACTAAATCAGGATTAAACCAGGATTAAACCAGGACTAAACCAGAACTAAACCAGGACTAAACCAGGAAAAACCAGGACCAGGATTAAACCAAGGACTGAGCCAGGATTAAACCAAGAACTAAAACCAAGACTAAACCAGGATTGAACCAGGATTAAACCAGGACTAAAACCAGGACCAGGACTGAACCAAGACTGAACAAGGACTAAACCAGAACTAAACCAGGACTAAACCAGGACTGAGCCAGGATTAAACCAAGACTGAACCAGGACTAAACCAGGACTGAACCAAGACTGAACCAGGATTAAACCAGGATTAAACCAGAACTAAACCAAGACTAAACCAGGATTGAACCAGGATTAAACCAGGACTAAACCAAGACTAAACCAGGACTGAACCAGGACTGAGCCAAGATTAAACTAGGACTAATCCATCTTGATAAAAGCGGAGATGGAGGTAGATGATACAAACT